CCCTACAATGCATTTCATAATTAGTTATGAGAGATGGTCCTTAACATCTCTGGTCCTTTGTCTCCTCATCTGTGAAGTGGGTTTGACAGTATCAAAACTATAACATAAGGAGGGTAGTGGAATTAAGAGAACTCTGGGCATTTTGAAGCACTGTATCAATATTAGTAATAACAGAATTGGTAGAAGGCTGTATCTGTGGATTCCCAGCTCCTTAGAAGCCAGTGTGCGCAGGCCACAGTTCTGGGCGAGGAGGCAGACCTGTTGGGGAAAGACTTCCCTTCCTGAACAAAGGGTACCACAGTCAAGGAGTGGCTTTTGGACTACCTTCTTTATTGTCTGGGTGTAGATGAGTGTGAATGTCTAATGGTGACTTTGCAATGGCAGAGAGGAAAGCCATACTCTAAGGATGATGAGGAAGACAGAGAGGAGTCTGGTTCTTTAAAGACAAGTAGAACGGCTTCTCCAACCTTGGCTGTCTACTGCAGACCACCCTGTATTTTAAGTTGGGTTTTCTATGGTTTGTAGGAGAAAGCCTTCCTCACTGGTGCCACCACTCAAAGCCAGCTCCTTCATGACATCCACCAATCAGAACCTCTACGAATTCATGGCTCCTCATCTCAGGGAGCCCTCAGAGCAATCCCTCTAGCTTTTTATGGTCTTTGATGAGTTTCTTCCCCTCCTTTCTTTGATGGGAACACTCTCACGTCTGAGAGCTCTTGCTCTTACGCAGCTGACTCTCACCTCTTAATGAACAATACGGAAAAAAAAAGGCCATATGCTAGGATACTTCTAATTCCTGTCCATGTTCCCTGCTGTGCCTGTATGGTTATTCGGCTCCTGACATGGCCTGGGGTGCACCCTCCTTCTGCCTGGGCAAATCCTTCCATCTATATAATCTCTCTTCACTTCTGTTCACTTCTCACCCACTGCAGTCAGGTTCTGGCTTCGGCTGAAATTCATTGAGACCGCTCTTGCTAAGGTCACAGGTGGCCACTGAATTCCCAAAGAGCACATGTTGGATTCCTATTCCCGCTGGCGTCACAGCAGCGGTTAACATGGTTGACTGCTACCTCCTTTTTGGAAATGCTCAGTCCTTTGGCGCCCACAATACTGCTTTTGCTAAGTCCTGCATTTACCTACTCTTTTGATCTTCTCTCATTCAGATTCCTTTAAAGCTCTTTACTGGCTACATGCGTTGACCTCAAGTGTTCCCCAGGATGTTATTCTTAGCCTCAGGATATATTCTACACACTCTCTGTGGGTGGACTTACCTAATTTAGTTTACCATCAATAAGGGGATTTTGCTATCAGCTAACAATGGACTGGAGTATTTCCTTTTTTAATGTTTTTAATGTTTATTCATTTTTGAGAGACAGACGAGGTGGGTGGGGGGGAGGGGGGAGGAAGAGTGGCAGAAGGAGAAGGAGATACAGAATCTGAAGCAGCTCCAGGCTCTGAACTGTCAGCACAGAGCTGGATATGGGGCTTGAACACATGAACCACGAGATCATGACCTGAGCCAAAGATGGATGCCCAACCAACTGAGCCATCTGGGCAGCCCTGGATTGGCGTATTCCAGATAAATCCTTTAACTCTAAACAAAACATAAACAACATATCTTTGAAGGTATCAGAAAGGTTCTGACATACTTAATACTTATGGGGGCAAATTTCCCAAGAGAAGGAAGATCCGAGGAGGCGAGCCCTTACTAGTGGTACATGACTCCTCTTCAGGAATCCCTCACCCAAGTGAAGAGCAAGCACATCCACCCTTCTGCTCAAGTGGGTAGCTGGCATCTCCCTCTCTTCTTTTCTCTTGCGTCTCCATTCCATGGATTATCAGACTCTGCAAGCTCCACATCCTAAAGGTCTCTCTGGTCTGTCTCCCACCACACTTCCCCGGACTAAGGCAACACCCTCTACTTACAAAAACTTCCCATATGGAGCCCTTGCCTTTAGGCTCACCTCACAGGGAGTCCAGCCTCCACAGGCCGCCAGGATTGTTTTACTAACACACAATCTAACCATGTCACTCCTCTGCCCAAATTGCTGGAGTGACTCTACTAACCTGATGTGTACAGCGCCATGACAGAGGCCCCTGTGATCGCCCCGAGTGCCAGCCGTCTCATCCTTCACCCCGTCCAGTGGAACAGCTACACGTGAACAGCTTCTCAAGAATGCCCGGGCCACCGTGCAGTGCCATGGCACCCACTTTGGGTTTCCTACACCCGGAACACCTCCCCCTCCCCCCTCCAACGGAGTCCTCCCCGTGTGGAGAGAACAAGTAAAATCCCTGTGTCATAAATTATATCAGAATAAAGTCAAATGACCAGAAGATTTTACAGGTGGAGAACAGACCATAGAGGTGCTGGCAGAAACACACGGGAATAGGTGTTTTCCTTTTAAGGCAGTGGTTCGCAAATTATAACCTGGGGATCAAACTCAGCCTGCTGCCTTTTTTTATAAATAAGGCCTCTTTGTTCTGTTAATTTCTGTATGCCTTGGGGGCACCTGGATGGCTCAGTAGGTTCAGTGTCCAACTCTCAATTTTGGCTCAGGTTAGGATTTCATGGTTTGTGAGTTCAAGCCCCACCTCAGGCTCCATGCTGCAGGCAGAGAGCCTGCTTCAGATTCTCTCTCTCTCTCTCTCTCTCTCTCAAAATAAATAATCTTAAATTAATTAATTAATTAACTAATTAAAATTTCTGTATACCTTGTATGTTTCCCCTCTTTTTAGTTTAATTTTTTATAAACCATTTTGACTCCATTTTCATTTCCTTTTCTGTATATTTGGATATATGTTTATATATTTCTTTTAGCTGTTTAGATATTGCTTAAATACCATACAGATTACACTTAATCTCCTGAATTTATAACAAGTCTAGTTATTTTTTTGGTCAGAAAAGAAAATAAAAACATGTATGTATTTACCTTAAAAGTGGAAAAAAGGAAAGCTTCAAAACCAGAGTGTGCTGCTTTGTTATGAATGTCTAATGTGCACTCAAAGTCTTGAAAAGCAAGCCTTTTTACCAAAGAGCAATGTCTATATGTCACTAGGACATATAGACTGTAATTATAAAAGAAGGTTTTGAGGGGCGCCTGGGTGGCTCAGTCAGTTGAGTGTCCAACTCTTGATTTTGTTGCAGGTCATGATCTCACAATTCCTGGGATCAAGCCCCGTGTCAGGTTCTGTGCTGACAGCACAGAGACTGCTTAGGATTCTCTTTCTCTCTCTCTGTCTGCCCCTGCTCCACTTGTATGCCCACGCTCTCTTTCTCAAAATAAATTTTAAAAAAAAAGAAGGTTTTTGGGGCGCCTAGGTGGCTCAGTCGGTTAAACGTCTGACTTCAGGTCATGATCTCATGGTCTGTGGGTTCAAGCCCCACGCCGGGCTCTGTGCTGACAGCTCAGAGCCTGGAGCCTGCTTCAGATTCTGTGTCTCCCTCGCTTTCTGCCCCTCCCCTGTTCATGCTCTGTCTCTCTCAAAAATAAACATTAAAAGAAAAAAGGTTTTGAAACATAAAGGTGCTTGTAGAAACCAGCCAAGAAAGGAAACTGCACTGAGGGAACAGAACAGTGAGCAGATGCTCTGGAAGGAAGGCTCTGGGAGGTGATGGGCGTGGCCCCGGGTCTGGGTGGACGTCTGGCCACCACCTGGGTGCCAAAGGGGGAAGAACACCCCCCGGCAGGATCCGAGAGGAGGACATCACCGCAGCCTCCGAAACAGTCACAGCGGAGTGGGCGGGCGCCCCCAGACTTCAGCAAGGTCCCCTCCAGAGGGTCTGCTTTCCCACGTGTAATCAGATGCAGGAAACCTACGATAATAGCACCCACGACAGGGATGTCCAGGATGACAGCAACTCTTGTACACGGTATTTTGGGAAGGGTCTTTGCTCACATGGTCAGGGCTGAGGTCCCTAAGGACACGCCAGCCCAGCAGTCGGACGTTAGCATTTCTCTGGCATCAGAAAAGTGGCCTCTGCCCTCAAAGCGCTCACTTGCTCTGGCCGAACCTCTTTTCCGCCGGGATGTGCGCTAAGGGGCGGTGTGGGTCACCAGCCACACCTCCTTCAAGGCACTGGCTTCCCCAGCTCCTGCAGTCAGTAACAGGTGACAGGCCGCTCAGCCCCTGGCCCTTTCCTGTCCCTGCGCTAGCTGCCATGGTCGCCTTTGGGTCTTGGGGTACTTCTCGCTTCTCCCCAGTTCCCGCGGCTGATTCTACAGCAAGTCTAGCTTGAACGGACACGCTGCACATGAAGCTTTATTGGCACACAGCCACGCCCTGTGCTTAGGCGCCGGCCTTGGGGGCTGCAACGGGGTGCTCGTGCTGGGACAGAGAACAGACGCCCTGTAGAGCCCTGGCCCCTTACCCAAAATGTTTAACGCCCCCCACGTCACAGGATTACAAGAGCAGATATCGCTGAAATAAAAAGATGAAAATTTCTGAGGTTGTAAAACTTAGAAACCATTGATCCTATAAACACAAACAATATTGAAACCCAAGTGACAGACGGAGGCCAATATTTAAAACAGGTATCACCAAAAAATTGAACATTAAGAGTAAAATAAAATAGAAGAGGCAAATGGTTAACATTCGCGATGTAACAAAAGCTCACAGCAATGGGGAAAAGCTCAACATCCAAACGCGGAAAAGATCAATATCCAAAGGGACAAATAAGCAGGTGACTTTCGTGGTTCATTGAAAGGTGAGAAGGTACTGAAAGATGGGAAGAAATGCAAGGCAACGTTTTCTGCCTTGTTAGCAATCAAGGGAGGCAAATAAAAAATTACTACTTCAGGCTTTACAAACCTTAAAAAAACACACACACCTGTATCGATAAGGATTCAAAGAAGCCAGTGGTCTTAGAAAAATTAACGGAACCCAGGAGGTGACAGACACGCTGTGGAAGAAATCTGACCGAGGGTTCTCCAGTGAAAAAGCTCAGCGAGGGGCAATGTTACCCCGGCACCGGGTGGCATGGGGGGGGGGTGCAGACCTACTTTTCTCCGGAGAGACGTGCGCCTTGGACTGTCCCCGCACGAGCCTGCAGGTGGAGCCGTTGCCGGCGCACACGCCGCAGCTGTCCTGCCTGGCTCCGCTCCCCAGGTGCCGGTCGCAGCCCACCGCCTGCGGACAGAAGCGGGAGACAGGAGCCTGAGAACGGGGACACGCAGCTCTAGAGACTTCCAGAAGCGTCCCCCAGCGGGGAGCTCCCTTCGATTCAGGAGGGGGCTCCCTTCCATGAGGACAGAGTTTGCAGACTATGAATGACCTAACGCCTTGCAAGATCTAGCTTGGGGGCGGGTGGTAGAGTGGGGGGGGGTCTCAGGCCAGGCCCCGATTCAATGAAGTGAAGCTGCCCCTCCCTGCACATTATTTGTTTTTTAATTTATGTTTTATAGTTCCAGATTTTTCTGTACATAAAGTGAACGGAACACTACAGACACTGTTTCCACTGCCCCGGCTCTCCCCACCCCTGCCCTCTCTCCTCTGACCCCTACTCTGGTCGTTTTCTCTCCAAAATGACTCCTACCCTGAAGTCCGCATGTATCCTTCTGAGTTAAATGCTTTAAACTTTTTTCCTCTGTTCTTATCTCCATCTCCACATTATCTCAACCTCTATACTTACCAATCTCTCTCTATTGTGTATCTTTACATCTCTTTCTGTTTATCGTTATTTATATCTACACCCTGTGTGTCTTCCTCTGCTGTTATCTCTACATAGGTATCTTTATAAAACGTCTTTATTTATTTCAATATTTAGTTTTGAGAGAGACAGAGACAGAGCACGAGCAGGGGGAGGGGCGGAGAGAGAGGGAGACACAGAATCTGAAGCAGCTCCAGGCTCTGAGCTGTCAGCACAGAGCCCGATGTGGGGGTTGAACTCACCAATCGTGAGATCGTGACCTGACCGGATGTCAGAGGCTTACCCGAGTGAGCCACCCAGGCACCCCTATAAGCCATTTTTAAATGCAAGAAAGGAATGATGGAAGATGTCTCACTGCATATGCCTACCTTTTAGTCCTTTGTGACTTATTATTTTTGTGAGTAATTTGTGTGTGCGTGCATGTGTGCGGATTTGCCAGATTGTGAGCTTCCATATATGAGGAGAAGGGCTATGCCACATTCCTTTTTATTTTATAAATATATCTTCCATATAATATGTGCCCGCTAATATTAACTAGTGAGAGAGTTTATCTCTCCCCTCCCTATACCCACTCAACTTTATTTGTATTTCTATATCTGATGTTTATGGGCAGGGGACCTGGAAGCAGATGGCTTCCTTCCCGCCCCACCAACACTTTCAAGATGTGGGATGCTCGGGACGCCTGGGTGGCTCAATCAGTTAAGTATCCGACTTTGGCTCAGGTCATGATCTCGCGGTTCGAGGGTTCGAGCCCCGCGTCGGGCTCTGTGCTGATGGCTAACTCAGAGCCTGGAGGCTGTTTCAGATTCTGTGTCTCCCTCTCTCTCTGACCCTCCCCTGCTCACGCTGTGTCTCTCTCTTTCTCTCTCAGAAATAAAATTTTAAAAACATTTAAAAAAAATTTAAAAAAGATGTGGGATGCTCAACAATTCAAACTCTCAGGGAACCTATTTTCGTCAAGAGTAAAATACAGATAATAGGGGTGTCTGGGTGGTTCAGTCATTAGAATGTCCAACTTTTGATTTCTGCTCAGGTCATGATCCCAGAGTCACGGGATCGAGCCCCATGTCAGGCTCTGTGCTGAATGTGGAGTCTGCTTGGGAATCGCTCTCTCTCTCCCTCTCTCTCTGCCCCTCCCTCTCTCTCCCTTAAAAAGAAAAAATTAATGAGTAGTAATATACAGATGATAATACATACTTCACATAGGGTCTGGTAAGGATACAATGAGAAAACGTACATACAAACTCTTAGCACAGGGATTAGAACATTACAAAGGGCTCAATAAAAAAGGCCTCCTTCTATCATTTCTGTTTTTCATTTTGTTTTGACTCCTGGGCACGGCCCCTCCACTTCAGCGCAGGGAGCTGCTGAATCAGACACTGTATCCAAGGTGTTGAAGACAAAATAAAACTGGAGGGAGTTGAAACCACATCTATAGACGATTCCTTCCAAAATTTCGGTGCTGAAGGGAAGGAGAAAGATCAAATAAAAAAGTTTCAGGGAGACGTAGGAAAAGTTCCAAGGAAGTTTAAGGAAAAGCCCAGGATTAAAGATATTTTTAAATTCACAAAGGGCTGTCATGAGGCAAGGGCTTAGGTCTGTTCTTCGTATTTCCAAACGGTGAAAGCTCCAGGCTTAAGCCTAAGTTTACTTCAATATCAGAATGTTTGAAAAGTCTAAGCTGTCCAACAGCAGGTATTCACCTGGGAGCCAGGCAGGGCACTTCTGGACGGGAAAGCTAGAGCGGGGACTAAAGTGTCTGAGAAATAGCTAAATCCAAAGAGTTTTGAGATCCTTCCATCCTGATTATATGACTTTATAAAACTAAGAATGAAATATGGATAATAATAGTTGACTTTTATCGAATGCCTACCACGAGTCTGGCGTCATACCGAGCACTGTACACATATTATTGCATTACATCTTCACAGCAACCTGATGACATGGGTGACATCAGGTCTCTGTTTTCCAAATAAGGAGTCTGTTCCTGAGGTTCCCTGACCTATGGGTGTCACACAGCTAGTAAACAGAGTCAGGGATGGCCTGAGGACTCAGGTCAGCTGATACCGAATTTTAACACCTTCCTCATCCTTACAGCAGCAGATGGACCACAAAGGACGAAGTCACAAAGGCAATTATGTTACTATTTACAAGTACATGTGGAACAAATTAAGAGTGATTGACTTTGGAAACACACTTGCATGGTTGGGATTCAATCAGTGAGTAACTTGCGTTCACACAACTTTCTCCAAGGGGAGTAATTCTGCCATTAAGTTATAGAAACTCTGTTTCCGAGCCAAGCTCTGGCCTCACAATTCAGGTCCCCGAGTACTTTGCATTTCATGAGAATGAGCATCACTCTCTATTTGGTCATCCAGAAAGGGTGGGGGTTTAGGAGCTAGGATGGGTTTGTTTTGAAGAGTGTTTAGGGCCTTGTAAGATTTGAAGCAAGAAAGTACCTCCCTGAGCACTTACATTCGTGTCAGAATTTTGTTTCAAGTTACGGTTCATCCAAATCTTCCAGCCAAAAAAAGCATGTGAAAGCATCACAGAAAAAAAAAAAAAAACAATATCTGAAAAGAAAGTCTGGTTGCCTTGCAATTCATGGGGTATAAGTCAGAACTGCCCTTGAAAGTGAGGCACTCCTGAATTTGGGCTCTCAGATCTCATCCGAACCACTAATAAGCTACTTTTGAAAAATTGCCTGAGGTGCTTTCAACCTCGGTGATATCTCCTGAAGTCAAGACCCCTAATCGTAATGATTTAAAAACCACTAATGGAGAAAACATATCAATAAATTAACATCTATTAAATAACCAACTTTTCTGTAGCCAGGCACCATGGGGTATAATTTAACGAGACAAGATTCATATCCCACGGTGCAGTTAATGAGGCAAGTTACACAAGACATCTGATTTAAACAAATATTTTAAAATATATGAGCCACACTTCCGGGGAGTGATACTCCTACATAAATCATCATTTCGGCTAAGGATTATTTCACAGCTTCTGCATTCGATTTCCTAACCAGATCAAAGAAGATAGTATTTGAATAAGTGACATCACTGCACAGGAAGCCACATCTGAAGTTTTTAGGTAAAGTCTAATTTATACTTCCAAGAGCCGATTTTTTGAGTCAGTTCCCACTTGAGATCCCCGAAAACTGGATTCTACCTTAGAAAACTGTCTAGCTTCCTGCCTAGAAAACCAGAGTGTATGGCGCTATGGTAGTCATCAGCGATATTCTAAATCATGGGACTTCTCCTTCAGCCCATGGAGACACCATACTTCCCCACCCCCACCCCCTAGAAGGTGAGTGAACTTCTTGACTGTCCTGGGCCAATGAGACAGGAGTCTAAGTGCTGGTGTCACTTGGACAAGAAGCTCTGAGGGTCAGGGAGCGAGTCACACGTTCGCCCTGCTTATACCGTAGTTACTATGTAAGCCGTGTTCTAATAGAGCCTCCCTCAGTCTCACCACTGAGACGCTCAAAGAGCAGAGACCCCTGCGCACCCTCTGTTGGACAAGAAGCATTCGCAAGAGGTCATCTTTCACTGTTTGAAGCCACTGAGCTTGGGCGGCTTTCATTATGCCAGTGTTGTAAAGAGCAGTTTAACCATCAATGGACACAGCAAGGTCATTAACAGCAAGCTATTATTTCCAACAGGACATTTCACATTAAAATCCAGATTTCTAGGGGCACCTGGGTGGCTCAGATGGTTGAGCGTCTGACTTCAGCTCAGGTCATGGTTTCACAGTTCGTGGGTTCGAGCCCCGCGTCGGGCTCTGTGCTGACAGCTCAGAGCCTGGAGCTGCTTCAGGTTCTGTGTCTCCCTGTCTCTCTGCCCCTTCCCTGCTCTCACTCTTTCTTGCTCTCTCTCAAAAATAAATAAAAACATTAAAAAAATTTTTTAAATCCAGATTTCTGGCTTCTGTTGACGAACAGATTCTGGCATGTTTATATGTAGGTATGCCCTTCGCAAGGAGCAGCTCTCCAGGCCTCAGCAGCTCTCGTGCTCAGCATGACTCCACCCGAGTACCTTCTGTTTTGGAGAGTACAGAGATACCGGAGTCTGTCTGCACATGACCCCCTTATGGGCCTGGCCGTCCTTTACCAGAAGCACACCTTATTTCCAGTTACAAACTTCAGCTATACTTTGGGCGATACAAAAAGTGCAAATTTCATCAGTGTAGCGCAATGATTGAGGAAAGAGATTCTGGAATTAGGTGTGTGGGTTCAAATTCCAGCTATCCCAATTTCTAGCCATGCAACCTGGGAAAAATTCCTGAGCCTTCTTCCATCCAGTCTCCTTACTAATCAAGTGGGGGTAAGGACAGTACCCACCTCACACGTGTGAGGAGCTGTCGCAGCAAAGGGCTTTGGACGGCTTCTGACACCTCCTAAGAACCCAGTGAATGTTAGTTGCTATTAATTCTATGATAACTACAAAGTGGTCTCTTCATTGGCCCAGCAGTCAGCGAATTCAATAAGCATGAATGATGAGAAGTCAGGCTGGTCGGAACCAGGTCCTGTTTCTCATAAAAGTCAGACCTGCAAAGCGGAAGCAATTTCATTCAGGGAGTATAGTTGTCTCCTGCTGTTTGCGGCACTCAGATTCACGAAAGGCTGTTCCCAGGAGCACAGTGATGTGCTCATTTAAACGAGCATGCCGTAAACACCCTTGCGAAGGTTATTTGTAGTCTGTGCCAAGGAAACATCAGGGCTCAGTCCGCGCATCCTAAGGCAAACGGTGAGAATCACACAGTTTGTTCTCTCTGGTCCCAGTGATCACTGACGGCCACGGCCACGGCCACGTTATGCAATAATGGGAACTTATGTGAACTTTATCCTGTTGAAGGAAAGCTCTGGATTCTCCTGAGAGGGTCTCAGTCACTTCTGAGGAGACTGCATACAATCCTTTTCTCCCAAACAGCCTCGCAGAAAGAGCACTCCGCTTTCGGCACCCGGAGTATCACCCGTTACTGCCCAAAGAATCGCCTTACCCATCAGCGTCACAAAACCATGAAAGGAAGCACACTTTTCAGATGAACTAATTCGGTGTTGAAAACCACATTTCTCCTGCACTCCCTTCAAGCCTTGGAAATTACTGGAGCAAGCTAGGCACCTGAGACGATGAATATGAAGAGGGGGCTGTGGTCCGTGAGCCCAAGGGGGAGGCAAGGGAACGGCGGCCAGCACTGACGGCAGGCCTCCTGCGGGACTGTTACTGGGCTGGGCTCCGGGAACGCGTTTGTGAAGGAACGAGGTTAAAACAGGACCTCCATCGAGAATGCTACCGCCTTTTTACATACCAAGACCAAGGCTCAGAGAGGGTGAGCGGCCACAGGAAATGAATACATCCTGCCACGAGTGTTCACTCCAGCCGTGACACTGAGATGGCCCACGCTGAGGTCACCAGTGGTATTTGTTTGGCCCATGTGAAGTAAGCATGTTTCTGTCCTCATCCCTCTTGATTTCTCTGACGTATTGGACACCGCTAACTTTTCTTCTTAAACACTCACCCACCCATAACTTGTAAAGAAGCTCTGCCCCATCAAGCGTACCCCTTCCAAAGCTTGCTTCTAAAATGGGGGGGCCAGGACTCTGTCATTGGAAACCTGCTTCTCTAATTCAGACTCCAATACATACATACATGCGCTTTAACCCTGTGACGATTCCCAGATCTGTTTCTCATTGAGAATTCTCTCCTAAGCTCTAAATTCATATATCAACTTTGATATTCACAGGCACTTCAAGCTCACCATCTTTTCCCCATACACTTGGTCCTCGCCCAATATTTTCTGTCTTGAGGAAAGGCCTCACCATCTACTTAATCATCATGTCGGAAATCCAGACATCGTGCTGAGCTTCCCTCTCATTCCCCACATTCAACAACACATCCCGTCTTCTTCATTCATCTCTATAATTTGTCATCCCTTCTCCATTCAGCGCTCCCTCTGCATTACCCAAGGCTCTGGTTATCCCACACTTGACCTCCTGTTGTTTGGCCAGACCCTGTCCTCTCCAAATAATCTACCATGTTGCCACTTGAGTGATCTTTCTGAAGACAATCCCAACTGAGCTACTCCTTGTAAGATTCTTCACTGACTCCTACTGTAACTTTCAGAATGTTAATGACTGGTTTCCACCTACACCTGTAACCTCAACTTTTAGCACTATCGCACAGGTGTTTTCCACCTCAACTCTACAGAATGAGTCACCGCCCCTTAAATATATCTACTATTACATCTCTCCACCAGTGCTATTCACTCTGCTTGTGATTCCCTTTCTCATCTTGGTTTACATAACTACCGCTCAACTGTTCAAGACCTCAATGTCAAAACATTACCTTGTCCAGAGTACTCTTCAGATCAAAGCAAACTACTTTTAGTAACAATTCTTTTTAATTATGAAAGCAACGCATATTCATCGTCAAAAATTTGGAAAATGAAAAAGCAGAATTCTGCTGACAAGTGATTAGCTTCTATTAGCATTTAGAGGAAGAGTGCAAGAGTGAACTGGAGGTTATAAAGAGAAACGATTAACAGCAGATAAAATAGAAGAATGAGGTAGTAAGCCTTGGCCTTTGGGAAGATGAGTCAACAGCAAGCATCAAATAAGATGATTCAAGAGTAGGAGAGAAAGGCAGAGAGATTGCCTCGTCTAGTTTTGGAATAAAAAAAGTGAAAGGGGAAAAAACAGTAAAATGTGAGATATCTGATACAGGTAGCAGCACAGAGAACACATGTGAGCAAATACATTAACTAAAATACGAATTCCAGAAGGTAAGGTGGAGAAATGCGGTACCAGAAAGAGAAATGAGTAGGAACAGTGGTTAGAATAACTAGTAGGTCTGAGAAAAACAATACTAGCTCATCTGGAGCAGAGAAGGGGGGGCATCTGAGTTGAAGGAATCTGGAATCTCCCAGAATGGACTTCAGACTAAGCTAGAAATGCAGGATTGGGAAATTGAAAGAGAAATGAAAGAGACACCAAGATATCTGAATACCCTCTGCCTCTGCAAGTGGATAAGACTCATTCATTAAGCCAGTTTTTGCTGAGGACCCTCTATGGGGCCAGACAGGGCAGGCACTCCGGGGCATGGCAGAAAGCAAGATACATATGATTCCTGTCCTCAAAGAACTTACATTCTGGTGTGGAAGAATGTCGTGATCAAACTATCACACAAATAAATAATGTAATTATGAAGTAGTATCAGTGCAGTTAAAAGGTATTAAAATAGACAAGGACAGCTGATTAGGCAGAGTAATCCCAGAGGACATCTCAAGGAAGTGACATGAAGCTGATACCAGGAAGATAGTAAGAGTAGCCGGGAGCTCCCAAAGACCCAACCAATAAATTAACTTTAAGAAATCAGTGAGTTAAAAGGCTCAAAGAACCTACAGATGTTACCCTTCCAAAGTAATGGATCTCCACAGAGGACCCCTGGACCAGCACATCAGCATCTCCCCGTGAACTTGCTAGAGATGCAAATTATCAGGCTCCAGCCCAGATCTACTGGCTCAGGAACTCTGGGCGGGCGCCCAGCACCCTGTGTTTTAACAAGTTCCTCAGGTGCTCCCGAGTGGATTTTCAAGTTGGAAAAACCACTGACCTAAAGAAGTCATACGATGAGATATACTGCAGTCTTTTGATTCTATGTGGACAAAGTCTACACTCTTTTCATTAAATATCACATAACTTAAAGGCAAGTCATCCTCTCTAAAATAGTTTTTACCTGAAAATTATCAGAGATAGTTTCTCATCTGCATGAACAGAAGAAGGAAAAAGAGCCTCTGCATTGCGAGTGGACGTGGCCCACCCCGGAAGCAGGCGGGGCTTACCTGACAAACACCGCTGATACACATGTCCAGGGAGTCCGTGTTGCAGCGAGTTCCATCCAGTACCTTGGGTGCCAGCTCCACTACCAAGTTCTGTCCCCGTGCGTGACACTTGAGCGCACAGGGGGCAGCGGGATCATTATATCGCGGGAGCCATTCATAGTAATGCCCCTGATACTGGACGTCATTGTAGGCGGAGCACTGCTGGGCTCTGAAGTCCTCTGAGTCAGGAGGGCAGTCCTGGAAGCAGAGAAGAAAGGCCACGTGCACATCACCCAGGGGCCGAGCCAACAGGGAGCTGAACAAGGTCACAAGTCTCAGGAGACCAGACCGAATCTATAGCCGCGGAATTCTACTGGGAGCTGCGTGATGATGGAGACAAAATTTATTCTCATCGCTCTTCCACCCAGGTATTTTCCCCCAAATAATTAGAGCCCATCATATTTGAATGCCAAATTTTGCTCTATTTTAACCATCTTGGGTATAAGTTTCCAAATGCGTTACACAATTGTCTTCTTTTTGAAACAAGGGGCACATAATGCTTTTAAATTATTATTTTTTTAATGTTTTATTTATTTCTAGGAGAGAGAGAGAGAGAGACAGCGTGAGCAGGGGAGGGTCAGAGAGAGAGGGAGTCACAGACTGAAACAGGCTCCAGGCTCTGAGCTGTCAGCACAGAGCCCGACGCGGGGCCCGAACCCACGAACCGCGAGATCATGACCTAAGCGAAAGTCGGACGCCTAACCGACTAAGCCACCCAGGCGCCCCAATGCTTTCAATTGTTCCGGGTGACTCAAGGTCTTTATAGGGAACGTTAGTTAGTATTTGTTCCTCCAAGAACCATTTCAATGTGAAGGATTACTTGCCCTTACTTTAACTGGCCCCAAAGCATTGTGTTTCGTGAGAATTTGTGTTTGTGTCTTTGTTTCTGCTTTTGTGATTGTTGTTTAATTAATGTGCCTTTCTTTCCTTTTTTGGCGGGGAGGGACGGGGGTGGGAAGCCACTGGTCTTCACTAGAACCCCGTACCTGCCTTCCACTGGATCTGGAATGGGAAGTTAAATGCAGCCTTTTCAATTTCTGTCTATAACAACAGCAAGGAAATTCTAAGCAAATGCTCCAGGGAGCTCTCATAATAATAGTAAAAAGTGTTTGTGCAAGTCTTGATGACTCAGAAATCTTTTTACTTAATTACTAATCCCTCCCACTGATATTTCCAAAGCCAGATGCTGGCCGACCAAATGTTACTTCACTCTTCAAAGTTAAGCATAAACTTCCCAATTGATGGCAATTAATTAATCCTACACCAACTTCCAATTAAAAGAGAACAGATACAGAAAGTCAATATATTATTTTATATATTTTTCTTGTTACAAAAGTATCAGTGGTCTTTATAAAAACTTTGCCAAAGTTTCTATGAAAAAGAAAAGAATAAAGAACAAAGATTCTTGTACCTAAATCTTTACACAAATCCTTGATGATTCCCCAGAAACAAACTTCTGGAAATAAAATTTCTGAGAAAAAGGGTGTGTTTCATGAGCTTTACAAAATACTGCCAAATTGCCCACCAGGAATTTCCCTCCCTATTATCACCAGGATCTGTAAATTCCCTTTTTCTCTGTCTCTTTTCTCAGGTTGGATATTATGATTTTCTAAACATTTTCCAATCATCAGTGTTCAATAGCATTTCATTGTTTGAATTTGCATTTCCTCTCATTATTTAGGTCTAATAGCTTTCATGTATATTTGCCTTTTGTATTAATTCTTCAAACATTTCTTGTTTTCTTTCCTTCATTTATCTATTGGAATGTGTACCTTTTTATTATTTTTTAACAGATAAAACTATCAACCTTTATAGTGAGGTTATCGACTCCATCATCTGCACTGGAAATATTTTCCCCATTTGATTTTGGTTCTGGTGCAAGAAACTTTGTTACTTTACGTTTTGAGTAGTCAGCTCTATTAATATTTCCTTGTAAATCTTCTTCCCTCATTCATGAGTTCAGAAATGTTTTTCCCACCCTGCCTAAGAACAGATAAATGCTGAAATGCACATTTCTAGTTCCTTTCTAGTTTAGCAATTGTATTTAACTCTTCATTACATCTGGAATTTACTTTGATAGTATATAGTATAAGGTAGAAACTACCTTTATTTTTTCCTACAAATAACTACTAATAAATTATTAGGCAGAATCTTAAAATATGACTTCTTTCATTTCTCCCCTTTTAACGACTCGACTTTTGTATCTTACAGTGTTTATGCTTTTGGCCTTTATAATCTGCTTCAAATCCCTTTTGGAAGTAGGTAGGAAATAAATAAAATATAATAAATAAGCTTCCCTTGGCTTAGTTGCATCAGTTGGCTGCGCATCATTCCAAAATCCTGTAGAGTATCCACATTTTTCCTGTTTCAGTAAGATTAAACCTTAACCCAGGTCACACCGATGGAAGAGAGAGTCAAACTGAAGACTGAAAGCGGTTGACCTTTCTGTCTTGAAATGTAGACTGTTGTCCATCTGGCCCCAGGGAAGATCGTCAGTTGATAAAATTATATGGCCTCTCTTCTCCCCAACCATGGTCCGTTTTCTCTATATCTGACTCTTTGAAACCCAAGCCGAAGAGTGTAAGAGAGCAGAGTGAAAACGATGACCCTTGCATTAGGCTCATGGACGTGGCAAGCGTGCTTTAGGGACTGAAATTTCTTGCTATCTGACTCCTGACTGTCTTCAATTCCATAAACCAATAAAGTTTCACAAAATTAACAAGGCTTAATTAACAGACAGCCGAAGATGGTGGCCTACACTTAGTCCTTGCTGAAAGAGTGACCAGGTTTAGACAGGGGACCCAGTCTCCTTGGCCACAGCTGATTATCAGAGGCAAACACCCACTCCCGGCCAGGTTGCTTTTCCCCGGGGTTTGGAACTGTCACGGAAGGGCCAGAGCTGAGGACTCCCATCGCTGTGGGGCTGGGCTAACTGTCCCTTTCCTGAGATGCCTAGTGAAGTGAAGCAAGCCAGGTCCCGCAGCAAAGAAGAATATATCAGACACGAAAGAAGGCAGGCTGATAAGCCATGTATTTCAATAGGTGGATATAACCTGGGTTTCTCACTTTCCGGTTCTTGGGTCCAGGCTCTCAAGGTGTGCTGATGCCCAAATTCCATTAAATTTCCACACCTCCACCCAGTGAATCAATCCCATTTTTCTCGTGCTAATTAGAGTGGGCTTCTGTTCCTGGGAAATGATGATCCTGATGAAAACACCTTTGTTTCTGGATAATCTTCTCTAGTTTACCAGGGATCATTACTGATGTTCTTTCTTTCCTACCGACCTTTGATGGAGGTGGGTCAGAATTGTCATTAGCCTCATTTTATAAATGGAGAAAACTGTGATCTAAGAAGTCTTCAGCCACTAGCCTAAAGACCCACAGCTAGTCTATGACTCAGCCAAGACTGATTCCCAACGTAACAAGCATTCCATTATATGATACCGCTTTCTGGTAATCTTGGGGGACATTGATGATTTACATTAAATGCTTCCTTTTACTTGGCATTCTTCCAGTGTCAACACTAAGCCTGTCTGGTCGGCTTCAGCTGGGTCCCCTGTCCTGGTGCAAGACAATCTAGGGATTCTTGTGTTTTCGGTAGTTAAGGTAACAGTTAGGAAGCTTGAATGCTAAACATTCTTAGGGATTTCCCTAAGAAGCGTTTCTTCATATCAGTTAAGATAACATGTTTATTAAGCCTTCTTTACAGGTTTTGCATCCGTTACATGCTGTGGAGAACCTAAAACAGTATAACCCACTGCTGTCATTTAAAGAGTGTGTTATCTTACTGAAGATGTAGCACCCTCATACTTGAAATACACTGATCCATTGTTTGTACTTATAGATTCCTAAGTACGGCTTTGCAATGAAGGAGATAAAATTGTCCAAGTGTTAAACAAAAAACTGACTGAGTAGAATTAATAAGTAAAGAAGAGACGCTACATTGGGAAGACTTGACTTGACCAGGAGTAGGCAGGCAGCCTGAAAAGCACAGAGAAGGAAAAGGAGGAGGAGAAGGACAGAGATTAGGAGGGAAAGAGGAAGGAGGCGAGGAAGGAAGACACACAGGTAACAAACATTACCCACTTAAGGACCATCCTGAAGACAGAGATCTCTTGTCCCTCCATGAGATTACGTAAACCATTCTCATGGACAACTGAGGGAGAAATGCCAAGATAGGAAGATTACTTAATACACACAGCATTTTTATGCAAAAGAGAGAGACCATTACCTAGGGGATGATTTATATAATATGACTGAACCAAGCTTTAATCTGGATTATGTATTTAGGTCATTCTTCCCAGATAACCAGTGAGTAGGGACTTGGGGGAAATGCGATTTCTGTTGTAAGCAAATTTTAAAATTTTATTTAGTCTTCATAACCACGCTGTACTAGGAGTTAACTTTTGGGATGCTGTTATATAACCAATGCCAAAATTTCCAGCACAAAAATAAATTACAGCGAGGGGCCATTGTAAGAGACCACAGTTAGCAAATGACGCATCATGGAAAAATGATATTTCAGATGAGATTTAAGGGATGGCATGATGCGAATGGGACAACACACAGGAAACAACGAAAGCGACAGAGAAACCGCAGAAATGAATTTAGTAGCTATGAGGGACTGGGAATAGTCTTGTCCAGAAAGGGTGGAAGTTGTGAGCTCAATATGGATAAGTCTAACCAATTTCTGGAGGTCCCTGAAAGCAAGTGAGGGGAATTAAAAGCAATAAGGATTCACAGAGGGGACTGGCACAGAAAACACGACATTTTAGGAGAACCGGTGTGACGGCCGATGGACTTGGGTAGGAGCAGCCACAATGGAAAGTAAAGAACACCTCTCAGGGGAAACTGCCAGGAATTAGCCACCCATAGGACCCATGGTATGAAGAGTCGCTCAAGGGTCGCATCAAATGTCGCCTCTTCTAGAAAGCCACCAGGGACCCCACTGTGCAGAGTTAACTGTCCCTCCCACTGTGCCCACAGAAAAATGTGCTCATGCTTGCAAAACCACTCTTACCCAATTATGATATACTCGTTTTTAAAGATATTTTCTTCCCTTTGCTCCCTTCCAGCCTTGTCTTTGGTACCGTAAACCCTGGTATAAAAAATGAGTCGTTAAAGTCAAGTTTTAGAAGTCATTGCTGACGTGTATGACTTCCCTTGGAAAGTCTCCACTGGCTCTGGGCTACACCTGATAAGGAAAATTCTTTCCCAGGGCCTCAGCGGCCTGGGCCTGGCTGTGAGGGTCTTTGGTGAGCACGACTGGAGGGTTCTCTCGGAAGATGGGAGTTAGCTGGGATTACGGGATGCTCCCCTAATCCTACAGGCCTTCAGCCCAAAGCCCCATGTTCCCTGTCAGAATGAAGCCAGAGAGAGCCGCGGAGCCACAGCCCGATCTTTCGGGGAGAGCAGTATGGTCTTCCTTCCCTGGCCGTGTCTCCCGTTCCCGCACACTGGGAGTGGAATCAGTCCCTCTAAGCCCTCTGACGTGTATCCCTAACGCATCCACACTTCATAACAAAAGGACATCTGGTCTTTCCTTGAGAGCCTGGAGTCTGTTTTTCTCAGGTGTCTTCTACTGAGGTGGGCACAGGTCAGGACCATGGCTGTCGGGGTCTGTCCGCATCAAGCCGGGTCCTCCCCTGTGCCGCGGACGCCCCGGGCCACTGGAGTGGAAAGCCCAAGGCCATGCAGGGCTTCGTTTCCATGATGTGGCTCAGCTGCTTCTTGTCATCCCTTCTCTGCCCTTCCCTGATCTGTCCCTTGCCAACTGTGAATATTTAGGTCTGTCCTGCAGCTTCTGTGTCTGAAAGTAGAACGTTCTGGCAACTCCGCCTGCCAGTCATGTGCGTGTGGGTCGGGAGAAGCAGTCATGTCTTACACTACTGTCTATAGTGTCTTTTCATCACCTAACAAAGCTCAAGACCTTTCAGGCCCCTTTCCAAGAGACAGGCTGGCGTAGCAGAGTGGATAAGGCTGGCACTGGGAACCTGGGGGTTTAATTCAGCTCTGTGACCTTGGGCAGGCTGCCTAAGTCTCCTGTGTAAGAATGGACATAAAAGTAATACCTGCTTTGTAGAGATCTTCTGAGGACTATCACGGGTTTGTTCGTGGTCAGGCACTTAGCGTAATACTTAGGAAGTACTTAATACGTGTGATCTATTATTATTATTATTAGTGATTTTGGCTAAGAGTTAGAAAGCTGGCGACACAGATGACCGACTGACTCTGTGGTTCTGAGGCTTCACACAAGGAGGAAGAGAAGCACGAGCCGTCTCGGGATGGGATGGAACGGGAGGTGCCCGGCAGTGACCTCTGTTCCACCGCGGAGCGGGCTTCCCTGATCACTGAGACGGTGAGGGGTGGGAATGGGAGATCTCGCGGCCCCATCGGACAGGCTCGTAGGCCCCAGGACTGCAGGTGTGGGCACCTCTGAACCCCAAGGCAAATCTCCCCCCTAAGAGTGCCTCATCTTGGAATCACGAAAGGCAGCTTCCGTCAGAAAAGCGGGTGGTAGGCTCCATTTCCAGGGACATGGGAAGCCAGTGACTGTAGCACCAGCATGGCCCATCTTCGCCGGGACACTGAATGACAGCGAGAAGCTGGGGGCAGTGCTGGGGGCCCGGTTCCCTCTCCGCTGGAGGTGGGTCACAGACGGTCCCCTTCCTGCGTGACACAGAGGTGGTGATTTCAAAAGGGAGATTCTAAACCTCAATTAGCAGGAAGCAGGGCACCGGGGTGACTCAGTCGGTTGAGCATCTCAGGTCACGATCTCACAGTTCACGGGATCGAGCCCGCTGTCGGGCTCCTCGCCGACAGCACGGAACCTGCTTGGGACTCTCTCTCCCTCTCTCTGTCCCTTCCCTGCTAGCGCTCTCGCTGTCTCTCTCTCAAAATAAATAAATAAATGTAAAAAAAGAATAAAGCAGGAAGCAAGTCCAGAAAAGAGGTGACTATCTTTGTGCCCTGAGTTCATGCAGTCACATCACTCACGGCCCACCACCTCCTTGTGACGTGTCCGTGTGTATCCCCGGGAACACACTGCATAATCTCTCCTGTGCAGGATCGCCAGCAGCCTGGGCTGCACGGACCCCACCCTGGTCTGCAGGAGGCCTTGAGCACACGTGACTGCCGGCCCCCAGCGCACGGAGACAGCGGGGTGCCCCGAACCCCACAGCCGTAAAGGACCTGCCACAACTCCGTTTACCTCCCTGAAAGGAATTTGGCAAAAAACTCTTGAGTTGGCAATGGCAAGCGTGGCGCTTAATGCCATATTCTTATGAAATCTAAGGACTCCAACTCTGAGCACTCACTCACACTGCCGTCTTCCCTGCTGGTCACCACCTTCCACACGTGTAATTCTTCCCAGCCTAGAGGGTGGGAAATGTTCTGCAGGATCCTCCCAGAGGGGCCTCACCTAGAGACCCTGGGGGCACGGGGGTCTTCACTCAAGTGCACCAAGGTCCTCGCCATCGTACCTAATACGTAGTAGATTGTGGTAGATTACACTGTACGTCCACAGTGTATGAGCCAACGCTCCTACACCCTCCTAACACTTGTGTTGAAGAAAGATGCTTTCTGGGAATTAGCAAGAGCAGACACACACACACACACACACACACACACACACACACACCCAAGAATGAAATCTCAAACTACAACACCTTGATCTGGGCATTTAAAATTAGTTCCTCTAGGGACGCCTGGGTGGCTTAGTCGGTTAAGCGTCCGACTTTTGCTCAGGTCATGATCTCACGGTTCGTGGGTTCGGGCCCCGCGTCGGGCTCTGTGCTGACTGCCAGCTCAGAGCCTGGAGCCTGTTTCAGAGTCTGTGACTCCCTCTCTCTCTGACCCTCCCCTGCCCACGCTGTCTCTCTCTCTCTCTCCTAGAAATAAATAAAACATTAAAAAAATAAAATAAAATAAAATTAGTTCCTCTAAAATGAAGGCATTTTACAGGTATTAGGTATTGTTTCGGTGAATTCAGAAATTATTAAATACTTACCAAATAAGTTTATACATTTGACATGGCCTCAAAAGGTAGTATAGATGGAAGGTATGAGAAACACAAAAATCTGTTGTCAATTAAAAAATATTTAAATTTTCCACAAAGGGCACCAAGAAGCCACTAGCTTTATAGTACACAGTATAATGGTCTAACCTAAAACGTGAACTTATTTTACTGGATTATATATTTTTATTATAGAACTTACATGGTTGCTGCACGTCTGGTATCGAATATTCTGCCCTTCACAGTTCCTAGAGGAAAAAAGAGGAGACAAAGAAATGATTTCAAAGAAGTGGCAAGCAGCAGAAAAGAAAAAAGAAGAGAAGAGAAAAAATAGAGAGAGAGGAAGGGAGGGAGGGAGGGAGGGAGGAAGGAAGACCGATAAATGCAAGGTGATACCGATAAAACTTTTGTTGTTCATGTTACCTCAGAGATACAGACTTTAAATACTAAGAAATAACTTTCAGCAATCAGGAGGGCAAAATGTCTCATGAAAGTGTCACTTTAAATAGAGAGTGAATTCTTTAGCTGAATTAATGTAATGATATTACTTACATGCAGTTTCTACCCTGCTCTCCATATAACCACTGAAACCAATATGTGTAACGTGCATGCATATTTCTGGGGTTTTCCTGTGAAGGAGGAGACGCTGCGGGTGACGGCATCTGTGTACCCCGTCCCTCACTCACTGAGGCGACCCAGGGAGGCTGGGCATTCCGGGACCTTCTCTAATCAGCACGATGACCTCTGTCAGGTTTCTGCTTGAGGCAACGCCTCTACATTTTATTTCAACCACGGGCCTTACTAAATGGATGCTGCGAAATAGGGCCCAGGGGCTTTCTTCGGAAACCAGGACTGTGGGGTCTGAGGCATATCCAGGTTTGAGAATCCTCTAGAAATGATCGCCACGTACCCCTTCCTCCCCTCCAGCCACTGGCCCTAGAACTTTGCCACTCATTCTCTGAGATTTTTTTCCTTGGATGTTTGAAACATCCAAGATGTTTCTTGTGCCAGGAGCTTTCCTCAGTCAGCGTTCGCTGCTCAGTAGTTTATATTAACTCCTTAAAGTTATCTGATCCACTGAAGGCACCTTTCCCATTTTTCAATTACGTGTTTTTACCTTTTGTATTCCTGCTCAGTTCGATGGCAGATTTGCAGCAAAGAAAGCTAAACACAGGCTTAACTTATCACCTTGTGTTAAAAGCCAATTGATACTATTTCAAGTATATTAAAATATTGAGTCCTAGAAGAACAGAAACTTTTATGAAGTGGATCTTTTTTTACTGGTATGGTTTAAATAAGAGCCTGTATGAAATGATTCATAATCTATTTCAGCAATATACATGGCACATAACTGCTGATGATTCTATTTTTATTGATTACAAAAAGAGTAAGTGAAAACTAGTAATATGCCAAGGAATATAAAGGCGGATAATCGATCTTTCCAAATCCCATCACCAAGATTTACACTCTCGATATTTTGGCATTTTAATCATCCAGTATTTCTGCATGATTTACTTACAGATGTGAAAGCATACTACTCATTCAACTTTGTATTACTTTTAATCTAATATAGCAAACATTCCCCCCATTTTACTACTAATTCTTTGGAGAAATTCTTTTTAATAACTACATAAAAGTCCATTATGCAAACATTACACTTTTTATAGTTTTGAATTTAAAATTTTCTTAATTGTGGTAATATCCACATAACATAAATTTACCATCTTAATCATTTTTGGATATACAACTCAGCATTAAGTATATCCATATTGTAGTACAAACATTACCTTTCATGGTTATTTATGCTGTCTCTTTTTCCCAGGACTTTTTAAATTTACATACAGTGAAATTCACTTTTGGGAAGGCGGTGTACAATTTTATGAGTTTAGACAAATCCATCCTCCACCCGACCCATTTGCTTTTCACGTAGTGATTATTTTGTACTTTATTGTGTCTTCTGTGTTTTGAACCTGCTTCTCACTTTTCCTTTCTTTGCCATCGTTCTCAAACTCACACTTCCCCACTTTTGTCTCGCACCATACTCACGTTCCTTTCTGTTGCAATTGCAGAGTGTACCCCTGATGGAAGTGAGAAGGGGTATGGGAGGAAGTCTGGGAGGGAAAAAAAAAGCATTATCGCTGCCTCCAGAAACATAATCTAAACGATAGTTACATTTCTGAACTTGAAGGCAGCTAAGGTATCCAATGAGTTGCCCCTTTTTAATACGATTGTCATGACTTTGGGGATGAGGACATCCCCAGATGTTACGGGCATAGGTTGATCCAGTCGTGGTATTTTGTAACACCTCCTATATCCCTTTCGTGTGTCCTGTCATAGGTATATGGCTCTGAAATTTATTAAACTTTCAAAGAAGCTACATCATACTTTAAATACTCAAGCAACACCATCCTGGGAGGCTGGCGGGAAACCGGTATTAGGGTGGAGAAGGCTCTCTCTTGGTGAAGGGGAAGTGACGCCATTCTCCTGGGAGACAACAGCTATGCCAGTGGACAAGGTCATGTACTTACATAACTTATTTCATTGTGCTTTTTATGTGCAGAGAAGAGAAGAAAATAAATTACAGAAAAAGTGAAAGGGTAATTTAAAGTACTCTGTTTATTTTGGAAAGGCCCCGAATGAGGAAAGCAGCTAATAGATTAGGGAAGTGATAACCAAAACTTTTGAACCATGCTGATTTGGAACCCTATAGAGCTTTTAACTCTCATTTCCAAACAGCATGCAAATGGGAAAGATACATTTTAAGAGAGCATCTGAATTGATCTAGATGCTGATATACCAAAAAAAAAAAAAAAAAAAGTCAAAACTTAGGAAGAATGGCATTTTCTCGAAAAGCATTTTGGAACTTTAGAAAAATTATTCCAGATGTAGTTTTTACTAACTGTTTGACTTCGGCCGTTTAAATGAAAAACAAAATTACTTTTGGAAGAAGTTTAAAACTAAAAGGAAAGAACCTATCAGGTGAAAACAGCTGATGACTGCATCTCAGGTCTGCTGTGTAAACATGGTAAAGTCATGGTCCACACCTCACTGTCCTGATTATAACAGGCCTAGCATCCAGGAGGCACGAACTTGTACCCTGACTGGTGAGCCTGGAAATCTAAACGTAAGACATCAGTGTATATCCACTACAAATCTCACTACGACAGCAGCAAAGTGGGTATATTACCTCGCGAATTCCCAAAATATAAAGTGCCATTCTGGGTTCATTCCTTTTCCAACAACTTCTTACTGTGAAAGCACTAGGTACCAGGATGTGGATATAAAAATGTGGGGAGGCTATCTCTTAATCCCCCTAACAAATCAGTACTAAGACTTTTTTTTTTAACCCAACCATCTGGCCAACATTTTTAACGCTCTACTTCAACCTAACACACAGTAAACTCGCTGACTGGTCTCTATTGATGTGGCATGCTTTGGTTACAATTTAGTATGAAAATGAATGACCACTTTATGAAACAGGCATAAAATGAGAGCAAGTTATTTTAAAGTTAAGGACACTGGAGTCCTAATTCCCCAAGCAGGAACCTGCCAGCTTATTCTGGAAATAATTCCTTTGGCTCGCACCAACGGAGTTACAGAAATATTACTTCCAAGTTTTTAATTTCATTCTAATTATTATATGCAAGAGCTAATGGTTATCAGGAGTATATGAAAATTCAAGAACATCATTCCATAATTATGTATTTTCTATCTGTTACAACATTCATAACACTCTGAAATTGGAGATTTTTGAAGCCATAAATTTATGAATATATAAAAAACATATGTTGATTCCACATGAGGGTACATTAAAAAACATTAATAAAATTTCCCTGGAGTTTATAGCAGTATAATTTATTACATGCATTTGATGATATATTGACTCAAACACTAGTGTCTTAAAGACTGAGAAGCATGTGTCTGAAGAATAAAAATATATTAATTTTTTAAATACTAGTTAACTTAAATCTGTGTTTCCCATGGTTGGCAGTTGACTAGAATATCAAGTTACAAATTTCTGCAAGACTGATATTCTGGCTGGGGCACGCAAAAGAATTCACTGTGTATTTAAATATAATCAAATTCTGGAAAAAAACATTATCCACAAAGAAATAAATGAGCAAAAGAGCCACATTCATCTCCTTCCCTAAATCATGAATTTAAATAAGCTCCCTGATAGAAAGAGAGGGCACTGAAACACTTTCATAGGCTTTGGGATGGATTTTTGTTTGATTTTATATGTAACCACCTCCATATTCCTTTTCCAAGAAAAACTGACCACAGAGCTCAATATTCATGAAGATTTAACAACTTTCTAAGGCTGTTCTAGGATAGAGAGACCTGATAAGCTTTCCAAGGGAAGTAGATTTCCTTCTTAATAATCTCAGAGTACTTTCAAAATGATAATAAAAGTTCTTAATATGTGAGTGGGTCGGGAATGATTAGTTTGATGCTGCCTGAAAGATGGGGAGCAGGGAACTAGTTACAAATCTGCTGCCCTTCTTTGGAATTAGTCTAATTTAATTTTTATGCAGAGAAATAGCCTTGCTGTCCCGATTTCTCACCAAAGACCTGGAGTGAGTGGGTGAGTCACAGGCCTGGCCCCATGCCAGGCATCAAGCTGGGAACAGGACATTTATTGCCATACATTTATCTTACATTGAAGTCTCTCATTTAATTTTTTTCATTTTTTAAAAAGCTTTAAAATTTATTTTGAGAGAGAGATAGAGGGAGGGGACGACAGAGAGAGAATCCCAAGCAGGCTCTGCACCGTCAGCATAGAGTGTGACACGTGGCTTAAAGCCACAAATTGTGAGATCATGACCTGCCCCGAAATCAAGAGTTGGATGCTTAACCAACTGAGCTGCCCAAGTGCCCCTAATTTTTTTTTTGAGAGAAAGACAGACAGACAGACAGACAGAGAAGACCCCAAGCAGGTTCTACACTCAGCACAGAGCCCAACACAGGGATCGATCTCACAAATGTGAGATCATGACCTGAACTGAAATCAAGAGCCAGATGTTTAACTGACTGAGTCACCCAGGAGGCCCTCATTTAATTTTTTTAATACTTGACTAGGATCTTTTCTAGCCTGATATATTTTTTTCAAATTAGATGAGTTCAGGGAATAAGCAAATGTGGAGATTCTCAGGCCTAAGAGCAAATTTCAGAATATAGGTTAAGATTTGTGCATAAATAAACTAAAAAACACTAAAGTCCTAAAAAAATGGGGAAAAAATAAGCAAGT